ATTTGATCAAGCGGCCCATCCGCCCTTCCCATGGATGAGGAGCGCCCATGCGGTTTAGGGTTTAGGGTTTGGGATGGAGGTTTAGTAACTCCGACTCTTTCATTCTCTCACTGCTCACCAACAACCAGCAAGTGAACCCCCAATCCCGAAGCCGTAAGCAATATATATATATACACATATATATATATACATATATCTATATATGGTTTAGGGTTTTGAGCTGAGTGCTTTCAGGTTTAGGCCTTACTGATTAAATAAGCCTAGGCCCAGGTACCCCCATTATGAATACCCAAAGCCGAAAAACAACATGGTAGTTTCCGTTTCCTTTTCCATTGCTCACTAACTCACCCCGACCCTCCAAGTTTCATAATTTGAAGTTGCTTTCCCAATTGACTGTCCATTATTAAGGTCTTAGGGGTTTAGGGCCCTACACGCCAAACCTTTGACCTTTAAAACAAAAAATGCAAACCCTAAACTATGTCAAGGGATTACTTTACCCCGCACCCTAAACCCTAAACCCTAAACCCTAAACCCTAAACTCTAAACTCTAAACCCTAAACTCTAAACCCTAAACCCTAAACCCTAAACTCTAAACCCTAAACCTTGACCATCTCATCCCCAAGCCCAAAGCCATGCCTTGGAGGATGGAGCAGAGCCGAATAGGCACGGCCAGCACTGGGTAGATGTGGTTTAGGCTTTAGGGTTCAGGGTAAGTATAGCCCCACTAAACGGGTTTTTATAGGGTCCCTTTCAAGGAAATATATACAGGTGTATATGTATGTACATATACATACATACCTACGTACCTACGTACCTACGTACGTACATACATACATACATACATACATACATGCATACATACATATATATATATATGCATGTTATCCGTAGACCCCATTTCGTATCTGCTTTTTGCAAGTGAACTCCATCAAACCCTAAACCCTAAAGCCTCTCAGCTCAAAGTTAAACATGATGGTCCTGAACTTCTATATTTGTCTCTCAGACGCCCTAAGCCGTAGACGCCAGACCCCTAGACTGTAAGCCTTAGCGTTAGGGTTCAGGGTTAATAGGGTTTAGGGTTTAGCCTAAGCTGTAAAAACCCTAAATCCTAAAACTTGTAAGAGTAACCATAGTTGTATATTTGCTTTGAAAAGTTTCAAAGTGTTGCGCTTTGAACCTTGGGCGCCCCGCGCTGTAGTGTCTGCTGCCTTGCAGAAAGTTGACTGAGAAGTCCCTTAAACCCTAAACTCTAAACTGTTTAGGGTTTAAGGGGTTTAGGGCTTAGGGTGCATGAGCGCCCCAAACAAGATCCGGGTCCGTTCTGCAGACCCTAAACCTTAAACCTGAGCCCTAAACCCGAAATCTGAAACCTCAACCCTAAACCTGAACCCTAAACCCAATACCCTAAAGCGGAACCCAAACTGCCTACAAGTCTGAGGTTGGTTTTGGGCTTTTTAAAGCTGCAGCGCCGCCAGTTGAACTAGCACAGGAGCTTTAGTCTGAACTCCTTAAAAGGGATTCATATAGGGGATTATCCAAGGTTTAGGATTTAGGCTCTACACTCCTTAAAGGGGGTTCTACAAGGGATTGTATAGGGGACTACTTTAGAGGTTATTAAGGCGGATACTGGGGTTTAGACTATAGATAGGCCCCAAGCCTCCAGCAGGCGGTTTGTTGTCCAAAAGCCCAAAAACGAGCGCCATCAAACCCCCTCAGTATTCAACCATCGTGCACTAGAAGCTAAACATGCTTAGTAGTAACTACCCCTTACTCAATGTGTATAACAAATAGAACTGTAGGTAATTGGGGTACAGGATCGGGCTACTGTTATTCCTTAAAGAAGTCCAGGTAGCCATTGCGCAGGTGTCTCTCTAAAGTCCGGTTTAGAGCTTAGCTGGTAAGGCTTAAATTAAGTCACTACTGAAAGGACACCCTAGTTATGGTGATAAAACATGAAATTCCTGAAATTCCTTAACACCAACCCAGTAAACCCTAAACAGCGTTTCGGAGCTTTTCAAGCTTCTGGCAGGATGACCCTTGAGTCTCAGTAACCGCCACGGCACTGAACGCTGAACCCCGAAGCTTCAAACCGCTAAATTCAGAATTGTTTTGCCCCACACCCTTTCCCTAAGGGTCCAAGGACCCAAACAATAGGGTTTTAGGGCCCAAATACCATTAATTTTATAGTACTTGGGCCCTAAAACCCTATTATTTGGGTCCTTGGACCCTCAGGGTTTGAGAACACCCTAAACCCTAAACCCTAAACCCTAAATGGGGTGTAGGGGCCCCCAAACCTGGTGTTTCACCTGTGGATCCGAACCAGGAAGCTCAGCAAACTACCCAATCTTCTGATGTTTTTTCCGAGCCATAAAAGTAGGTACACCTTAAACCCTAAATACAAATTCAGAGGCAAAGTAGGCACTTACCCTAAACCCTTAACCCTAAACCCAAATTCCGAGATAACCCATGAGGTGCATCCCTAAGCCACAACCCAGAGCCTGAGAAATAGGATGTTAGAATGCAGGTTTAGGGTTTAGGGTTTAGGGTTTAGGGTTTAGGGTTTAGGGAACTTGTAAGTCAAGATTTATTGGGGTTTAGATAACGGTTTTGTTTAGAGTCTACATACTGCTGATACAAGAAATTCTGCGTGACCTTAGTAGACCGTAGTATCACAATTTCCAGGTCTAAGGTACTTGGGGTGATGCAGGATTTGTTGTATCCACTGTCCGGGATCTAGCTTTTAGATCCTGCCAGAGGTTTTTGGGAACCCTACGTTTTTGTTGCTCCAGGTATCACCACCATAAGCCCTAAACCCTAAACCCTAAACCTTTAGCCCTAAATCGTAAGCCCTAAACCCGGCTAAACGCAAGCGGCAAACCCCACGCCGTTTAACTGCAAACTGCTCTGAGACAGGCGCAGAAGTGCGGGAAGGATGGCGAGGAGCATCTGAGCTCTAGTCTAAACTCCTTAACCCTAAGGGTCCAAGGACCCAACTAATAGGGTTTTAGGGCCCGAATACTAGAATATTATTGGCATTTGGGCCCTAAAACCCTATTATTGGGGTCCTTGGACCCTTAGGGTAAAAAACTCCTTAAAGGGGTTATGTAGGATTCAGGAGATTAGGGCCCAAACTCCTTAAGGGGGGTTATGAACGGGATTGTCATAGGTCTTACTAAGGGAGATGCTAGGAGTTTAGGGTATAGCTCATCTGTCGGGGTTCGGAGGTTGAGGTGATGGGTTTAGGGTTGAGGGTTCAGCGGTGAGGGTTTACAGGGTTAGGATTTGGGTTTTGATCCTTGGAAAATAGAAAATGCACCTTTCTCACGGGCTTGCAATGACTATATTGCTGAATGCGCAGAGTCCTCTGCGATACTGGAGTACTGTACAGGAACGTAAACTAAGTTTCTACATGAATAAGGAAAACATTAGTTGCCTCAACAGCAACCCAGGACAGGGTGTTGGGGATTGTTGTCTCGGAGCTAAAGTTGCAGCAGAAGAAGAAAGACCAACCACCCTTGCCTAGACCTGAGAGTAGGATAGGCAAACGAGGCCATGAAGTTGCATACTTTTGGGGTCCAACTATGGGGTCCAAGCAATGCTGCCTGACGAGTTGTGGGGACTCTTTACTACGGTTTGGAGTGGCTTTGGGTGGGGAAGTCCAATGATTTGATTCCTGAAGACCCTCTAAACCACAAAGCGCTAGCACCCGAAGGAGCACGAGAGTCTTCCCTAAACCCTAGACCCTATCGCTAAGCCCTACAGAATGACTAAAGCCTAAACAGACCCGAAATCCTAAGCTCTAATCTTACAGCACCTGAGCCATAATCTGGAAATTCTGCAATGTATAGGCCTGGGCAGGCCTTTGGGTTCCTTAAACATTTTTCTTTATTGGTTTTATAGGGACCCATCTATACTAATATTTTTCGAAGGTTTCTAAAGGCCAGCCAAGAGACCTTTTTTCGCAGGACTGGGGCCATCGCAAGTCTCAGCTCCGTGCTTTCATCGACACTACTGCCGGGAGCTCAAAACATCTTAAGGTTTACCAACCCCAAAAGTATGTAGAATCATGTAGAATAATTGCGGTTTTGGCTTTTTAGGTGTTTAAGGCTATTATTTCATTTACTTTTGGGGTCCAGGTAGGGTTTAGTGTTCAGGGCGCTGCTAGCTTAGAGTTTGCCTGGACCCTATTTCGCGGATCTCTAACCCCTAAGGGTCCAAGTATCCAATAATTAGGTACTTATGTCTAGGGTAATAGAAATTATACTATAGTTTTTGGGTAAGTTTATGATCATTGGGTACTTGGACCCTTACCTGGAGTCCAGGTAGGAATTTTTTGCGTTTACGGGCTGCGAGGTTTGAGTGTTAAGGGTTATGCTTTTTTGGATTCTACGGTATACCAGTCCGTAGGAATAAAATCCCCTCCCCCTGCATGTTACATACTCCCATCCCTAAGGGTCCAAGTACCCAATAATCATATACTTTCCCAAAACCTTTACTATATTAACTATTAATACCCAAAACCCAAGTACCTAAATATTGGGTACATGGACCCTAAACCCTACCTGGGAAACCTGGTGCCCGATATTTCTGGCACTTCTTGGAAGTTGACGATTTCGGGGTCAGAAAGCAGCACTTCTTAAAGTTGCTGCTTTTGGGGTTCATGGGGTTTAGCATGTGGCACCTGATGCAAAGAAAGCTGAAAGCTCAGACCCGTTGAAGTGATGACATATACACACCTTACCATACTCAAGAACATCCTTTATAGCATCCGTGAAAACATCCTGTGGAGATAGCACCACTACATCCCATAAGTACCCCACTAATTTCCAAAGACGACCCATCCTTTTCTGGCTGGCCACGGCATGGCGAAGATCATGATCCGGCTGAGGACTGGGTGCTTCTGGGACATTGGGACCTTTGAGGGTATGTATAGGTATGTAAGAATAAGTTTAGTATAGGGGGTTCCCATATTTTGTTATTCAAGAAGCACATGTCCCAAGCTACCACTTTAACTGCAATTCCAGAAGGAATCTTTCAATCGTTCGGACGTGTGTTGCCCGGGATGATACCGTTCGCGAAGCACCAGCAACCCTTCCCACAAAGTCCTCATCAAGTTGAGTGGCTGTGCTCAATGGATTCAAGGATGGCAAGTCTTGCTGTTTCTCATACTCCATGGCAAATATTACTTCTGCCATGTAGTGGTACTTTGGTTGAAGTTTCCATCTGGTAAGTTGCATCACGTAGGCCATGCCAGCCAGGCGCTTGAAGAAACTCATGACTTTACTTCCGGCCGCAATCGCTGTGTTGCGCTCTGATTCAAGAAGAAAAAGCCCACTGTGAAGCAGGGTCCTCATGAAAAGATTTGCATTCTTGAGCGCCGCCACAATCAGATTCACATACTCGCGATGGCTTTCGGGCACAATGGGCAGCATGTCCCGCAACATGGACTCCAAGTAAATGCACAATGTGCTGGTGTCAGCACCCTTGAACCACGACCTGTAGTATTTGGGCATTTGTTGGAGAAACTAAATACACATAAAAACACCAACGAAGAGTTTCAACAATAAACACAGGAGGCTGTATCTGACTAAGAATCGCTTTGGGGTAGTTGCTGGCACGCTTGATTCCCAACAGGTCCTTTGTCAAAGCATTCATGTGAAGTTGCAAATGATTTCTCCGGCAGAAATCCCGAGCATCTTCGAAGATGTGCTGAAGCAAGCCATCCAAAGACAAATTGCCAAACATTTGGAAGTCGTAGCAGGTCACCTTCAAAGCATACCCCCAAAGCCCAACATGATTGTAGGTACCCAACTTAAAAAAGAAAACAGTACATAGCTTTTCCGTTGATTGTTTACAAGAAACAATTGCGTTGGCACAAATATCGCCAAAGACTCCTTTCAGCAGAATGTGGAAGACGTCCAATCGAAAGAATTCAGCTTTTTTGGAAGGGCTCACAGGAATAAGGCTGATGAGGCTTGGCTCTCGAAGCCACGGTGTCGGCACATTTGTCTTCATGCGCTGCATGGGCAGGAAATCGGTCTCATCCCACCCACACCCTTCCTGCCCCGCCTTGCACAAGTGACAAATTCCTGGTCCAATGCCTGTAGCTGTATCTCTCATGTAATTCCGGCTGAGCTTCCCCAGTTTTACGAGGGCCGCGAGATCCCCCTTCAGGCCCAGGCAAATCAAGTACAACTTCTTTGTCCAAGGCACACCTTGCACATCAATTGGGGTGTTGAAGCAGGAACCCATTTCAGTGGCAAAAGCAGAAACAAGGTCATGTAATGGTTCTTGCTTCTTCTTTTTGCCAGCATAGACTTTTCCAGACATGACGGAAAACAAGAATCTGGTGGTTGTGCTGACGCCACGCATATTGACATCCTCCGCTCTTTTGCTCCCCCATCCAAGGATTGGCTGATACTGTAGCACAAGGATCGCTTTCTTCTTAATTGATGTTCCCTCATCAGCAAAAAGCCAAACAGGAATGCAAGATCGTAATCGTCTGGAGTGATGCACAAAGACAGGGTGGTCACTCTGGAGAAGCCTCCAGTGGTGCCAAAAGTCCTGGTAGTCGATGCCTGTATGGTTGCACAACAACAGTTCCAATTTCCTCTCCCGAGATAATGCTGATATAAAGTCGCTCGGTTTCAAAACAGGGTGCTTCGCATTCCCTATATCCAGCATTGTCATGGGGATGTTAGCCGTCAGCTTGTACTTTTTGAGGAGATCCATCAAGGCATTCTGGTGCTTGGTCTCTTGCAATCGTGTGGCCTCGCGTAAGAAAGAGTAGCTGGGCATCTCCGTTGCGTCACCCAACATAGAAAGCTCTTCCCAAAAACCAGCTGCCATTGAACATGCCTCCGCTTGGCTTACCTTACTTGTGAGATTATGGCCAGCTAGAGGGGCTATTGATCACTCTTTAGCAGTTCTAAGTAAATAGACATGTTGGGGACCCTCCAGGCTGTATAAGGTCAGGCTACATACTTCATATACATGTTTAGCTGTAGCATTGGGGTGTTCCCGGGGATTCAAGCCTTGCAATCCTTTGGTGGCTAAAGTTTCCTAGCAGAACCCCAACCCATGTGAATCCCGTTGTTTCACAGAAAAACTACATATCTGTCTCTATTCCGGGTGACCCTCATTTATTCATACATAGGAAATGTAGATGTAAACCATTTCGGGGATGGTCCTGTAAGACCTGCAAACCACTTAGGGGAGTCAGGGTTTGAGTGAAATTTTGGTTTCAACCCAGATAAGACACACCCTTTGAAACTGCCTGGGCAATAGCTCGTGCAGCAGGACCTGAGTCAGATGTGGTCGAGCTTCTCGCCAAGCCTGCGAAGGACAACGCCGGGGATGTTGTGTTGCTGGCCGTAAGAATAGAATATGCATTGGCAGTGAAGGCAAATTGCAAACATTTTCCAGCGCACCCCTTTCACGCTGAACTGGACAGAAATCCTTCTCAGAATCATGAATTGAAACGAACACACTGGAATGCCAGCGTGATCAACTGAACTGCAACCAGCAGGAATTTCGCATAGGTAGCCACCCGGAGGATAAAATCAGGAAGCAGTGGGTAGAGTTATCTTCTTAGCTACGTGGCCCCAAGTATCCAGTGTAATTTGTGCCCTATCTACAAAACAACTGCAGTATTGCTAATGTCCTCCTCAGGTCCTACACAAGCATGCTAGATTGCAGCTGCGCGAAAACAGATCACCATTCCTGCCGCTTGGCAGGAGGCCAAGCATCCATATCCATCAGATCCTCGATGAGCTCCGCATTTTGGATGAGGCACGGTAATCCTTTCGGAAAGGGCGTGATTCAGCTTAGGAGCATTAATGCAATTTTCCAGGGACAGCATATGCTTGACATGAGTGAAGACTGCCTCTCAGCGCTTCTTGAGGGTGCCTTTGGAAGCACCCTTACCTGCAGCTTTGCCACCCTTTCCCGCACCTTTGGCACCTTTACTGGCACCTTTGGCACCCTTTCCTCCACCTTTTCCCTTTCCTCCATGCCCATTGTGTCCACCATTTCCGGAAGGCCTTTCTGCCTGAACGGAAACACAAACTCCCAAACTCTCCACATTGCAGACCCTAAGTTGGAGCACGCAGGTGCCTTTGGGGCGGCTCGAAGCAGTGTCCTGGGCAGGACAACAGGGAAATCAAGGGTTTTAAAGCCAGGGCTGATTGGAATCTAGGCTAGGAACTTCTTCACTTTGACATCTTCCATCACTGCCCGGCTGCACCTATGCAGCACATATGTTCAATGCAATGTCAGGGCACAGCACTAAGTTGTACCAAGGGCACGCGGATTCGATTTGCTTCACCTTACCATCAAGTTCCGACATCTTCCTTAGTTGTAGCGATGCTGAAGACCCTCGGCTGCGTATTGTGATTGCAAAGGCAAGGTCTTTCTTGGGCAGGCGGGTCAAGGGGTTCTTTCAGGTTTGCCATTAATCACTGAGTGGAGTCGCACATGCACTGTCTACATAGCTACATCGCAGGTAAGGCGCGCTTCAGTTTGCTCACCATGGCCATCGAAATAGGATTTCAAGTCAGCCAAAGCGTCGTGCAAAGACATCATCTTCGAACAATGATCATTCAGCTTTTTCAAGCACCTTAAGCTCCATGCATGTTATAGACTTGCTGCAGCACAAGACCCATGACCTTTAAAGTCATCAGGAACACTTGGCAAAGATTAGTTAAGATAGGCAGCGACTTGGCCTCGTCCTTGTTCATCGCTTTAGTAGCAGGATCTTGCGGATGGGCCAAGAGCTCTTCCAGCTTGTCAGCCGTGTTCTGCAAGCGAGCCCTTGTTCGGAGGACATTGGTCAACACTTCGGCAACATTTTCGACTGCCTGCGCATGACTCAGAGCAGGAAGGCTTAGGTTAAATAGTTGTTGGGTTGCTTTCGGCATTGCGGGGCTTCTCCTAATATCTACAATTATGGGGTTTTTCCGGGGCTGTATTACCTTGCATGAATCAAAAAGTCTCGGTCTTCAGTGGGAGTTCTTTTAGAGAGTTTCATGCAAGTCTGTATAGTTCAGGGTTTAGGGAGTTTATAGGGGTGCATACGGTCTAAAGGGTTCAGGGACAGTTGGAGGATTGGATACCCACCTGAGGTTCCCTACCCTTTCCTGTATACCCGCGCTAGCCTAGCACACAGCCTCCAAAGCATGTTCCTCTTCCACCTCGTTGGCTTGCACATTCTTCTTGGGCCCACGGGACTTGTTATTCTTGCTGGTGTCACGATCAGACTCTGAGTCTTCATCCTGATCATCCTCTGACTCTGACTCCTAGCCTTGTGGGTTCGGAGGGCCTGACTCAATGCCACCCAGAACGAACCCATCAGCCCTGCCCTCTGCAATGGTGTTGTCACGGATCTCTTCCGATTCGGCAGCAACAAACTTGCCAACGGTCGAGACATCAACCCAATACTCACGACGAGACTTGTCGTACTTGTCACGTCTGTCAATCACAGGGCAGGCAGAGAACATGCTGAGTAGCATTTGCTAACAGTTTTGAAGCAAGCTTCAAACATATGACAATGTTCCCACCCTGAGGTGCCTGACATGAGTCTTCACCCGATTGCGAGCGCTGCACCAGGCAATGGCCTTCTTGATGTATTCCCTGGTTGCACCACACGACACAACTCAAATTCAGGGCTTATATATATAGGACCCTATGAAAAGCATCTCTGTTCAGATTAGGGACTTATCGAAGCCCTCAAGAGTCTTCATCTTCTCCTTCGTGTACCACCCTGACTGAACCGTAAGCTCCTTGCTACGCATAGTTTTCCGGATGTGCTCGATCCGCTTCTTGAACTCAGCCTGCAACTTGCAATGACGAGAAAGCAACTATGTAGTCTACACAGAACAGCAAGTAGCATGTACTCACAAGCAATGAGTCCTTGGATCCCTCCACTGTAACCAGAATCTTGAGTAGGTGCTTCCTGGAATCCCCCCCCTTCAGCCATTGGCTTCGCACTTCTGGCGCAACTTCGAGCTTTCCCGATCTAGGCTTCGGAGTGCAAAGTCTTCGCAATGTGTTGTCCAACTTGGCAAGATATCTCTGCTGCGTTGTTTTCACCTGGCCAACATGATCTGTATAGCACTTGTTCAGGATGATTGCAAGAATTGTGATACAAATCAGCCATCGGCCTTCTTTGCTGGGCTTGGGGAAGTATCCGAGGAAGGCTCCTGAATTGTAGCAAATCAGTGCAAACATACGAAGCAAAACAATGAACATGATGATTGCTGCATGGTAACCTTCTTTCCTTCTGCAGGCTCCACAACCAGGTTCGAGGCCTGACAACAAACATGGGCTGGGTACATCAAGGATTTGGCTTTAGTACCAGACCACAGGGCAAGAATAGGTACCATAATGTTATAGCGGACTAAGGCAAGACCCAATGGAGACCCAATGCCCCACCCGCCCAAGTAGAGGAAAATTAGGAATTTCCAAGAAAGGCCCTATACAGATACTTCCAAACAAATCTAAATTTGCGAGCACAGAACCCTAACCTAGCCTCGGAAGGCGAGGATGCACGCACTGATGATGATGGGGCCGGCGAGGCAAGGCTTCTTTTGGGAGGTGTTGCGGGCTTAGGGTCCACAGGTGTAGTCTGGCCGGACATCACAGCCAAGCGATTTTGGGCAGCCTGAGTACGTCATGGGTTCAGTTGATCTATCAGGGTATACATAGCAAGGCAATTGTGTAAACTTGGCGATCATGATTACCAAGTAACACGAATGATCTCCTCTGGGCTCATCTGCTTGCCGTGCTGGGCTTGCTGCTGCGCTAGGAAAGAGTTTGCTCGAAGAAGGGTGTCACAGGACCATGCTCTAGAAATGCCAAGGGCTGCATTCAGATCAGAGGCTTTGCCTTCAGCAGACATTGCTGCAGCTAAATCTACCAAACCCTGGGCCCGGTACACTAAAGAAGCCTGAGCACTATAGAGACAAGTGCCGCAAAGATTGCAACAGAGAGTTTGACAAAGTTTTATAGGCATGCGACTCCAATTCCGCACACCCATCCATGACTGTTATATGTATTGCAATGATTGAATAAGGATCTCAAAGCCTTTTTTACATCAGTGTAACAGGAATGTGTGCATGTAGGCCAGGCCACATCACAGACTTCAGTCGCAGCCAAGGATTGAACATTTAAAGCACAACAGAAGATTCTGCTTCATAGGTTTTTTTTATGGTAGAACTGCTGATAACTTGGGGTTTCATTACATTTCCTTGGCTGCAACAGAACGAATTGTTCGTGAAAAAAGCTTTCGGGGAGGTATTTTCCCGAGTGGGCAAAGTTGCTGCTTTTTTTGCTAGGATTCCTACGCTTTTTTACGGCACTTTCGCAGGTATTTACGGCACTTTACAGAATTATGGTCACAGTGCCTGAAATCCAGGGTTATCGGGATTTCGCTTTTCTTTATTTTGTTATCTAATAAACACCTGATTAGAAAAAGAGGCCCCGAGAACATCCACCCTTCTTAATTGTTCTGTCCTCATAAAGACAGCCAGAAAAGAGCACCCAAGCTCCATTTGGAGCTTAAGTCAGGTCCATCTAAGCCCAGAAGCCCAGGAGCCTATACACCCCACAACCCGGTATAATGCCCATATGGAAGAATTACAGGGCTTCTTTTCATCACGTGAACTGCACAACAAAGGCTCCCTAGGCACCTTGGGCGGGTCTTCTGCTTCTGTGGTTGTAAGGTTTACATGGAGGCATGGCATCATGCCAGTCAGGAGGCAACTGAAGCCCGCAACCTCCTCTCAAATATCGGAGAACCTCATACGCCTTTGCATCAAGCCATGCATCTGCAAGCAGGCTCTTGTCATCCA